TCACGCCTTTCTGTGGAACGATCACCACGATCTGTGAATTCAAAGCCCACTATAGAGAGGAAATCACCAAGACCCACCTCCACCCCAACTGATGTAAGTTACAGATTGCACTTTTTGTGCCCTCTTTGTTTTTTGAGATTTTAGTCATATTTTTTTCTATATTGGCTGCACTTGAAATGCTTTCTTCACTTTCATTTCTAAATTTTTGATGAAACATTTGAACTTCCTAACATCTCAAGTTGCCTTAAAGTTTTTTGCTTGAGGATGCATTACTCAGACGGTTAGTGCTAATTATTTGACATTTTTGCTAAGACTTGAAATTTTAGATAATGCATGATTGTATACCCTTCATTCTGACATGTCCAGTATTTGGTTGGAAACTGATGGAGATGTTTCTTTATTTGACCTTGCTTTTCCTTTAATATTGTGCTTATATATTCCTTGGTTTTGTCAGAAACAACCTCCAAGAGTTGTGAAGAGTTCAGAGTTGCAGAGCCAATTGAATCTTGCTCAAGAAGATCTAAAGAAAGCAAAGGAGCAGCTCATTCAGGCTGAGAAGGAGAAGCTGAAAGCAATAGATGAATTGAAAGAAGCACAGAGAGTGGTGGAGGAAGCCAATGAGAAACTCAGGGAAGCATTGGTGGCTCAAAAACGGGCTGAGGAGAATTCTGAGATTGAGAAGTTCCGAGCTGTGGAATTGGAACAGGCTGGAATTGAAACTGTGAAGAAGAAAGAAGAAGAATGGAAGAAAGAGATTGAAAGTGTGAGGAACCAACATGCTTTGGACATGGCTGCTCTTCTCTCCACCACCGAGGAGCTTGAGCGAGTTAAACAGGAACTCACCATGACTTGTGATGCAAAGAACCAGGCACTGAGTCATGCAGATGATGCAACTAAAATTGCCGAGATTCATGCAGAGAAAGCAGAATTTTTTTCAGCTGAATTGATGCGATTGAAGGGCTTACTAGATTCAAAACTGGAAACTGAGGCCACTGAAAATGAGCATATATTGAAACTGAAAACAGAGATAGAAGCTCTTAAGGAAGAACTTGAAAAGGCAAAGGGTTATGATGAGAAGTTGTCAGAGAAAGAAGCTTTTATTGAACAGCTTAATGTGGAGCTTGAAGCTTCAAAGATGGCTGAATCTTATGCACGTAGCTTGCTAGAGGAGTGGCATAAGAAGGTTGAGGAATTAGAAAAGAGGGTTGAAGAAGCAAACAAGCTGGAGAGATCTGCATCAGAATCTTTGGAATCTGTAATGAAACAGCTAGAAGGAAACAATGATTTGTTGCATGAAGCAGAATCTGAAGTTTCTACTCTTAAAGAGAAGGTGGGATTATTAGAAATGACAATTGGGAGACAGAAAGCACATGTTGAGGATTCAGAACGCCAACTTCTTGTGGCTAAGGAAGAAAATATTGAAATGTCAAAGGAAGTTGAGTCTCTGAAATCTGAACTTGAGAAGGTTAAGGATGAGAAAGCCCAGGCTTTGAACAATGAAAAGCTTGCAGCTTCTAGTGTGCAGGCCCTATTAGAAGAGAAAAACAAACTTATCAGTGAATTGGAGAATTCTAGGGATGAAGAAGAAAAGAGTAAAAAGGCAATGGAAAGCTTAGCTTCTGCATTACATGAAGTATCCGCAGAAGCTAGAGAAGCCAAAGAAAATCAACTAAATATCCGAGCTGAACGTGAAAGCTATGAGGCCCAGATTGAAGATTTAAAGTTAGTCCTAAAAGCCACTAATGAAAAATACGAGTCCATGCTTGATGAGGCTAGGCATGAGATTGATGTTCTTGTATGTAGTATTGAAAATTCTAAGAGTGCCTTTGAGAACTCTAAGGTTGAGTGGGAGCAGAGAGACCTTCAACTAGTCAGCTGCATAAAGAAAAATGAAGAAGACAAGGTGTCTCTGGAAAAAGAAATAAAAAGATTGCTTTATATGCTTAAAGAAACTGAGGAAGAGGCTAATGTCAACAGGGAGGAAGAAGTTCAGTTGAAGGAAAATCTGAAGGAAGTTGAGGCTGAGGCAATCCAACTGCAAGAAGCTCTTAAGGAAGCAACAGCTGAGAATATGAAATTGAAGGAGAATTTATTGGATAAAGAAAATGAGTTGCAGAGTATGTTTCAAGAAAACGATGAACTTCGAATTAAGGAAGCTGAATCTGTCAAGAAGGTGGAGGAGTTATCTAAGTTGCTGGAAGAAGCTACAACCAGAAACCACACTGAGGAAAATGGGGATCTTACTGACAGTGAGAAGGACTATGATTTGCTTCCTAAAGTAGTTGAATTTTCTGAAGAGAATGGACATGTAGGAGAGGATATTTCAAAGGTAGAGCTTTCAGTGAATCGGGAGGAACCCAAAGAAAGCTTACAGGAAGAAAGTATTCTCCTGAACGATAAGGCTGAAAAAATTGAATCTCCCAAATCTGAGGATGCGAGTGGGAAACTGAAAGAAGATGAGAGCAAAGAAAAGGATGATTCCGTAGAAGTTGAATATAAAATGTGGGAGAGCTGCAAGATAGAGAAAAAGGAGTTCTCACCGGAGAGAGAAGCAGAGCCTGAATCATTTGAAGAGGAAGTTGAGTCAAAGATAGAAGAAGGTGGTGAGAGCTTTGATAAGATAAATGGAAGTGCTATAACAGAGAACATTGATGAGGGTGGTAGCCCTCCATCAAAACAACAACAATTGAAGAAGAAGAAGAAGCCTTTGCTAGGAAAGTTCGGAAGTCTGCTCAAGAAAAAAAGTACTAACAACCAGAAATAGAACAATATTCAACTATGGTATGGGAGGTACATTGAACATTCAATTGTTTGCAGGTGTTTGGTTTTATGATTTTTGCTTCTCAGAATAGAATTTTTATGGAATCAAGAGGCTTGTAATGTTGTTTAGGATTTTTCACTAGTGCTTCTTTTGGATTGTGGTTCTCCATGTTAGTGGCAAATTGTATGTGATGCAGATGCAACCCCCCTCCTTTCCCTCCTATTTCTTGCCCTCCTATCTAGACTTGACGAAAGAAGTGGCAAGTTGGATTGTATTTTTATGTCATCCTCATTCAAATGAAAGTCTAGAAAGTTTGATGTTTCACTTCTGACGTTTACTTGGCACTTCCCTTGGACATGTAATGATCATTTAATGTACTACAACGCTGTTGGAAGAAGCCTAGAGGGTTTTATTTCCATTCCTTTCCCATTAAATGTAGATTCATGATTCAACTTGTAATTACTTCTATCAAATTATTTACCTTAATATAGAATTCGATATTTCCACTTTAACATCTGTTGGTTATGGATTCCTATACACTGACCATTCTAGCAAATGGATTTCTGATCACACAAAACTTGGATATATATTGTTGGTTCTGTTTTTTAATCAAAATTGACAGTGCTGTTTTTATCTTAGTAACTAAAATTGGCAGCGATAATATCAATATTGATTGATGTATGTAGTGTAACCCTTCTCTTTCAGACAGTGTTTCTGTTATCTCCGATTCTTTTCCCATTGGTTACTTTCTCTTCACAATTTTTTGTGGAAAAATAAAATTGTCAAACCCTGGTCTTGTCCAATCAATAGAAAATGTGTCTACCCTTTATACGCAAGCTTTTTTATTTTTATTTTTATGTGCATTAATATTTGTACTTGCATTTTTATTTTTATTTTTAACTTTAAAATAAAGATGAATAATAATCAGAATTCCATCAAAATAATGATGTCTGTAATTAATCAATTAAATACTAATGATACTTTAAGAAAAACAAATTAAACAGTTATGAAGCTTCCATTGGATAAATGGGAGAATTAATACGATTATGAATTGTTTTTGTTTGCTTGTTAGATCAAAACAAGTAGAAATAGTCTTACCTAACGGATAACAAAAACTCGTCTGGTAGCCAAAATGGTAGATTATAAGTATCAAGTTATTAGAAAGATTTGCCATGCTGCTTTCTAAGTCTCAGTGTCAGCAGATTATTGCATAAGTAAATTGGCATTTGGGCAACGTTTTCGTTAAGGTTTTTTAATAAGTTTGACTTTAATTTATCTCACTTTTATGTTTAAAAACCTCTTTCTGCTCCAAAGCTAAATGAGTCATTTTCAGTTTCATATTTTGTGTTAGTCTCCGTAACAAATCGTATTTAATTAGTATTCGATCAGTTTTTGCCCATTCTTCAAGTTTCAAAGTCTCCAATTTCCATACTGTTTTATTAATTTGTTTCCCTCTTTTGACTCTTGTTCTAAGGTGTTAATTCCACGTGGAAAGATAAGACATACAACTAGAGTCTAGAGGACACATCATTCCTATTAAAGATGAACAATGAGTTAATTTCCGTTAGGTTTTATGAAGTTTTAATTTGGTCTACTTTCCAAATTTGAGACACCTATTTATCTAAATCTAATAGACGGTTTTACAAAGCACATATCACACATTTTTTAAGACCTCACCTTTCCAAAAGTATATTTTGATTTCAAAGCCAATATGATCTTTTTAACTTATTACTTATAAATAGATTAATTAGTTTAAGTTTTTAAATAGATTAATGAATATTTATTCTCAAAACATTAATTACAATAAAAATAATAATGCATTATTATTTGAATAGGTCAATTTATTAGTCTTAAAAAAATTTAATTGGTGTAAAAATTTTCTTTTTTAACTAAATAAGTTGGATTTGATATAAAATGAATGAGTTAAGATTTGCTTTACTTTATTTTCAAACATTCAAAATATTTTTTTAGAATTGTTATATTATAAATGTGAAGTATTTATCAACTTTATTTGATTTTAAATTTTGTTAATCATTTTTAATAAAATCTCTTTCACAAAATTGAATCTCGAGATTTTACTTGATAAATTTAAATCCATTCCATTTGAACCAATATCACGTTAGTTTCAACCATTCAAAGTATATAGTCACAAATCACAAAACACAAATCACAAATGATATTATTTAACAAAGAAGCCACGTAAATTGAGTGAGTGGGGACTTATGTGCTGCAATTAATAGAAGAGGATGAATATGAGAGGATTTTATTCTGTAAAATAAATCACAATCTCCACGTTGCATGAAGCTTTTAATTATATAATGATTGAATCCAAAATTTAAATCATCTTCAAAAATATGAACCAACCAACTATTTCTAAATGAGCACCATTTGTTGATCCTAGAGATCAGTGATAAAAATTCCCATCATCACTGTGATAATCCTTGAGTGCCGTTGTCTTTTCTTGAGACTGTCAACTGTTGCTGATTTCTGTTTACTCTTGGCTGCAAATATAGGTTGAGAAAAATAAGTATATGTGGTGTCATAAATAAATAAATTTATAAGAGAAAATAAAATAAACACAAGTGGAGCTAGAAAAATAGTGCAATAATATAATCATAAAGGTTACTTACTCTAAGAGATCTTTCCAATAAGCCTCGCTTACTTCCTCATACATGAAATCTCCCCACATTTCAAAGGTGGTTGAAGTAGAATTACAAGGGTCAGAACACTCATTTGTGTTTCCCTTGTTTTCCATTTGCTTGACAGTGGAACATTCAGGCGAGGCTGAAACTAGATTTGGAAGTGAATTGAATAATTGTGTTGAAGAAGAAGAAGAAATAGGGGCATCAAGTTGTTCTTCAACTTTTTCAGATTTCATGCAACTACTATTTCTACATCCACTCATGTGTTGAAAACCACTTGGTAGAGTTTGCTGCTGATGAGGAGGGGCTTCAAAGTTTTGGAAATTTGGCTGATTTTGAGAAGGAAAACCATTACAAAGGTCTTGGAGCTTAGATTGATTCAATCCTAAAACTTCATTTAGAAAACCATCTTGAAGTGAAGATGGTGGTCCAAAAGGATTGAGTAATTCCATGTTTGAGGTAGGATTGGCTCCAAGGACTTGGAGTATGTTCTGAAGCAATTGGAGTTTGGCTAGTTGTGTGGCATCTGATTGCATGCTTAGAGCATTAATGTCCCAAGTGTTGGTGAAATTACTGAAAATGTTTGTAGCAGCCAGCAATTGTTGGAGATTGGATAGAAGATTAAGGTGATCTGATCTTGGACGATGAGTCACTGGATCTAACCCCATTTGCATAAGCTTTTTCTTTAAATGAGTGTTCCAAAAATTCTTAATTTCATTATCAGTCCTACCTGGCAGATGACCTGCTATAGAAGACCACCTAAGAATGTACATAAAGCAGCATACAAAAATCAAAATCAATTATGTATGTAGTTGTATAATGAAAAGCATCCACAAAACATACACCAAGTCTAAGTAAGCTAGCATCACTTTAAGAGTAATAAAATGGAATGAACAGTAAATTACTTATTCCCAAGAACTGCATGTAAATTGATGATGAGTTGCTCTTCCTCCTCAGAGAATTTTCCTCTTTTGATATCAGGCCTCAAATAGTTGGTCCACCTTAGCCTGCAACTCTTGCCACACCTGTTCAATCCTGCAAGTTTTGGAAGTGCTCTCCAACTCCCATGCCCATGTTTCTGAATGTAATCCACCAATATTCTATCCTCTTCTGGGGTCCAAGGCCCCTTCTTCAAACCACTTTCATCACCCCATGCTGTTCTACCCATCATCACTCTCTGCATAAACATGTTGGAAATTAAAGAGTACAAGGATTAATTTGATTCCGGGTTAGTTTCCATCACAACAAAGGAGAGCAAAAGAATCCAAACCTCGGATCGAGTGTTATGAAGTATAGACTTATAAGGTACTCTTTTGGAACTTGGAGATTTACCAGAGAGGTGATTGTTATATATATATATATATATATATATAGTATGGTGATGTTTGGAATACCATATATGCTTTCAACTTTCAAGACTAGCTTACTCTGCCATGATAGAAAATTACAACTTTGTCCTGTATTATACGTAAATTAAGATAACGACCCTGAAGGGCATCGAATATTGCTTCTAATCGTAATGCTTAATTTCAAAGAATGGACGTAAACATGATTAGCCACACTAATTAATTTTAATTTTTCTAATGAAGGTATACGGAAATGCTTTTCCTTCGAAAAACCATATTTAGTTTCTAAATTTTGTGTCTAAACACTTAAACATGACATATCGAAAGTACGTTAAACTCCATGACACATATCGAAAGTACGTAAATGTTACAACTAACAAGGGATATACAGATTTTCAACGTGAGCTTGGCTTGTCCAACAAGAACAAGGCACATAGGCAACACGTCAGCAACAAACTTAAACTACCAACTATGGTAGGTTTCCACGTGGCAACTGCTTACCACTTTAAAGCTCACTTTTCATGCCCCACATAGAGAAGAAACCTCCCTCTGAAAATATCGACCATGTAGAACAACATTATCTGCTTAACTTCATTACTAATACCACATGTTAATAATTTATACTAATGGAATTATTAGTTACAGTAATGTATTATACTATTAATACATATAGTAACAATATTTTGTACTAATATTTCTAATTTCCATTATATAAAAGATTATAGCTACGAGAACAACGTTACCTAATGCCTAAGCCTAGCCATTAGTAGGAGATATTCTTTTAAATAGCGTAAGTACTGATATACATGTACAGTGAAAACATACACGTCATTTCGATACGACTTCGTTTAATTAATTTTGTACTATCGAATAATTCTCTTGACCATATGAATGGATAAGTTAGCAGATGAATATAAAAAGTTATAACAGGACATATTTAATTATTTGAAGTAACGATGAATTTTAAATAAATTAATAAAGATACAAATACAAATACAAAATTAAAACAAAAATTTGTTCAAGAGTTAAACATTAGGAGTACTCCTAATTTACATAAGTAAATTTAACATTACATCATAATTTATATCTTTACAATATTAAGAAAATAGGATTTTTTTATTTATATATTACTCAAGATATTCAATTTTATATAATGTGATACAAAATACCTTGTATGGATGAAATTTAGCTAAAGAGATCAAAATGCTAGATGCGGCTGCTGTTTATTCAATCTTATTAGGTAAGTGCAAGTGAAGATTGCGTACGTATGTTCATTGCAACACTTCATAGCAAACAATCATGGTCAACTCCTAATTAGAAAAAGGATCATACGTATATACTGTCAAAAAAATGGTAAAATGATGTTTTCTTAACATATATTTTAGTTTTAAATGAATTGAAGAACCCCTCATAATTTCTAAGATTAGGTGAGTGTGGGAACAACAATAACTTATGTCTTATTGCGTCCCCAGTTGTAACTCCTTATGCATTCACAACAATTCTTAATTAAAGGTAGAAATATAATATTGACTAAAATACCATTCATACTTAATTTGCTTTTTAATATTGGATCAAAATCCCAGTCTCATACTCTACCCATTGGTCTAACAGTCTAAGTCGTCGTCTTTACATCTGTTTTACCAAAATTGCTTCTCAATCATATTTAAGTGAATCAAAATCCCGATGCAACAGAAATTTTGGCACCATTGTCCTTTTTTATAACATAATTGATTTGTTTATATTGAAATCATAATTTTATATATAACGAAATCTCTAACTAATCTTGAGTGCTTCCATTGCAACAGTTGATCTTCCTTTTACCAAACTCAGGATTTTTATAATTTGCATCCAATTTGAGTATTGAAGCAGATGCTTATGAATATGATACTTCCTGTCGGGAAACAATTAATGATAAACTATATATTGACATGTGTGTTGCATGGATGATAGAATACATATAATATATTTTGAAAAGAAAAAAAAATAGTATTAAACTTTATATTTAATAAATTTGTAGAGTTTGAAATAATAAATACATGAAGAAATAGGATAATTGATATAGGTTAAGGTACATTAATGACTAGATAGTGGGTGTTGATAAAGTCAACAACAATTAATAATTGTTAATTAAGATATGTTTTGATACCATCTTAAAAAAGTAAGTAAGCTCTGATATTATTTTAAGAAAGTGAATTAGAGTTTAATTCAATCTTACAAAATTGATTTGTAAGATAAAAATTGTTTACCCACTAATATAATAACTACATCTCTAGTTGATATAGAATCTCTAACAATTATTAGCTATATATTTAACAACTTAAAAATAAAGTAGCATCATTAAAGCAGATCTTACTTGAACAAATGTCAAGAAATCTATACGTGATGCGTGTAAAACAAAGCACTGAATTGATGACAAACCTTTAATCACCAGAAACAAAAAAAATGAATCATGATAACGAAATTTGGATGTTCTAAAATTTGGATAGCATAAAATAAGTTCATGCATGATTGATGATGAGAAAAATTAGTACGCATGAAAGAGTACTGTAGACTATACAAATTACCAGTTTCAGTTTTTTTCCCTTTCATTTTTATTTGGGTAATAACTTGGTTTTTCTATTAATTAATTTTTATCTTTTCTTAAAAGAAAAACTAAGTTATGTAGCTTTAGTCATCATTACAATATTGTCAATATTTCAATATATATATATATATATATATAT